CACTAGGTCTGGGTCTTAAAGAGGAGCTGTGTGTTTGGAGGGCCTTCGGGGAGGGGGATGTCAGGTGACAAGGGGGAGAGTGACAGGTTGCCTTTAGACCTCCTGAGACCACAGGCACGTTTCCACCCCAGGGTCTTTGCACTGTCTGCTCCCGCTGCCTGGAACTCCCCAAGGTGTCCGTCCTACCTGAGAGAGAAAGGTGGGCATTGAGGGGACATGTGAGGTGGGGAAGAGGAAAGGGGTGAGTGGACTTTTGCGGGAGCAGGGCAGCGTGAAGGGGAGGGACAATACTTGGATTCTCCAATTGCTACAGTCTGTACCCTTATCTCTGAGAGCAGAGAAGTGTCTAGTATGTTGTGGTGCATTCACCCAGGATCTTTTCGTTTAGTCCAGGCATTTGGGGGGTGGGGGGGTGGGCAAAGTGCTCCTGTTATAGCTCATGGCACATAGACTTGGGATGGTCTGAGGCCAGAGCAAGGAGCCCTCGCGGTGCTGCAGGTTAGGCTCTTAACTGCAAGGTTGGTGGTTTGAACCCACCAGCCACTCCCATGGAGAAAGATGAGGCTCTCGGCCCCTGTAAAGATTTACAGCCTCAGAAACCCTATAGAGCAGCAGTTCCCAAACCTGTGGGCCGTGACCCCTTTGGGGGTCGAATGGTCCTTTCACAGGGATTGCTCGATTCATCGCAGTAGCAAAATGACAATGATGAAGTAGCAATGAAAATAATTTTATGGTTGGGAGGTCACCACCACATGAGGAACTGTCTTACAGGGTGGCGGCATGAGGAAGGTTGAGAACCACTGCTCTAGAGTCTTGGTGTGAGTCAGAATTGGCTGGATTTGATGGCGCTGGGTGGATGGGAGACCAGCGCCGGGTTCACCCCCAGCCCAGGACCTCTGGAGACAGGCAGGCTCGCGGGGTGGGGGGTGGGGGGACAGGACAGGATGGGACATGCTCAGGCAGACCGGGTACTTTCAAGGCCCCAGGAAATGAAGGAATGGGGCTGGTGTAACCATGATACCGAGACAGAAAACAAGGCTTCTACTCTGCAGGCCTGGGGTGGAGCCTGGGGCAGAGCCTGAGTGACATAGCTCCGATAGCACCCTCCTTTCTCCTCTCCCTTCTCCCTTCTCACTGGGAATGAAAACAGTGCCCTCCACCTGGCCCTCAAGGCCCCCTTTGGCCCCTCTCCGAGCTCGCTCTCTCCCCTTCGCTCATACCGGTTCAGCCGGCTTCTTTGGCGGTCGACTGACCAGGCACCCCAGGACCTTTGCACGAGTTGTTCCCTCCACCTGGACCCCCAGAGTGTTTCTTAACTGCCCCGGCTTTCATAACCTGCCTCGGGCCTTGGGATGATTCTTCTCGAAACGCCTCTGCTCTCTTCCTCCTCCCCCTCAGGTCTCCCCTCAAAGGCCACATCAGAGAGGCCTCCGTGTGTCCACCGTAATTAAAATTGCGACACCCCCCTCAGCTCTAATAGCCCCCCGCCCCCTTATTCTCGGCTTAATTTTTCTCCTTGGCATTTCTCAGCTTGTAGCATACTATATAATTTATTCTTTATCTTTTTATCTTCCTCCTAGGATTCCAGCGGTGCTATCCAATAGAAGTACATATGCCAACCAAATGTATCATTTAAAAGCAGTCACATTAAAAAGGGGGCGGGGAGGGTAAGAGGAAGGAACACGTGGTATGAATGCTAATTATATAGCTTCCCACTACCCGTGAATACCATTTCAACAGGCAAAAGGCAAAACCAAATTCACTGTCACTGAGATGAGTCAGGCTCAGCCGCCTTATAAGACAGGGTAGAACTGCCCGTGTGAGTTTGCAAGACTAACTCTTAAAACAATTTTTTTTCAATGCGTTTATTAGGGGCTCTTACATCTCTTAACACAATCCGTACATTCATCCATTGTGTCAAGCACATTTGTACATGTTGCCTTTATAATTTTCAAAGCATTTTCTTTCTACTTGA